GGAGGAGGAGGAGGAGGAGGAGGAGGAGGAGCAGGGAAGTCAATGACATGAAAACCGTAACAGGGGGTCGAGGATGATCCGATATAGGATAGGGATGACGACGACGATGTTTGCGGTGGTGGTGGTGGTGGTGATGGTCGTCGTCGTGATGGTGATCATGTCACGCGACGGCAGCCGCGACGGCGGCGACTGGCGGCGGCGATCGGCACTGGTGGCGAGCGGGGGCGGCTGTCTGAAGCTGGCGGTGGCGGCGACGGCGGAGGCGGCCAGGCCTGCGGCGGGCGGCGAGCGGCGGCGGCGAGCGGCGGTTACGAGCGGCGGCCGCGAGCGGCGGCGGCGAGGCGGCGGCGAGCGACCGGGCGCGGAGGAAGCCACGGCGGAGCTGCGGGCCGCCGTCGCGGAGGCGCGGCAGCTGCGCCCTTGCGGGCGGGCCCCGCTGGCGGAGCGAGGCCCGCCGCGGCCCCCGCCCTCGGCGCGGCGGCGGCCTCTCGGCACGACGGCTCCTCGGGCGCGCCTCGCCGCGGCCCTCCGCCACAGCCCCTCGGCGAGCCTCCGCGATGGTTTGAGGAGTCCCTGCGCTGAGGGCTGCGGCGCTTGTTTAGAGGCCCCGCCTGCGCGATTCTGCGCCCCAGGAGGCCAGTCTCGGTTCATGGGGCCGTCAGAGAACGAACAGCCAGTCCTGGGGAGGGGTCGAGAGGTCCATCGAGGGTGCGACGACGCCGGCGCCAGCGACGACGGAGGTTCGAGGCTCGACGGTCGAAGATCTGACCTTCCTGGCGCGCCCTTTGTGTCCGGTGGGGTCTCCTCGTCGCCGCGGCCAGGCGTGGTCCAGAAGGCGGGCCAGGATGGACCCCCCGAGGCGGGTTCAGAGGAGTGGTTGTCAGCCGGGGTTTGGCCGGGAGCAGAGATCAGGGAGAACGACAGCCAATCGCGGGCAACAAGGGAGACCGCTAATCGCCCATGCCTCGCCGATCGGGGCCTGGGTGCCTCATGCTGCCCAGGAACGTGCAGTTTCCCCATCGGGGGCCTGGCCTCCAGGGGCCAAACATGGCGAAGCCCTCCAAGGGCTCGGGCAGACGGCACCAGGGGGGGGGAAGTATTCGCATCTCATTTTCTGGCACGTCCCGTTGTGAGGACCTGGCCGTGAGCGTTTGGGTGTGAGAGCGAGCCCGAGTGGACGACGAGTAGTTACGACGACGACGACGGCGACGCCGGCGGTGAGCAGGCCCCCTTCCCTCTCCTTCTTCTTATTGTTCGTCGTGCTCCCTCTCATCTCTTCCTCCAATCTCCGTTCTCCCTGTTCCTGTGTCCTCCTCCTTCGTCAGTCATCTTTTCTCTGTTCTGGCGGCCGTCCTTTTCCCTTCGTCGAAGTTATCATGGGGCTCTGAGTGGACAGGTGTCAGAGGTGCAAAAACCGCGCGCCTCGCTCGGTACATGCCCACGATCTGGCCGCCTGGGTTTCGGAAACCAGCGCCTCGCTCAAGATATTCTTATAATCGGTTCTGAAAGCACCGAAGCCCAAGCTTTAAACAGGCAAACCGCCCGAGACATCCCCACAATCTGAGCGCGAACGAGCCCGTTTAACACCCCTTGGCGGCTCCCCCTTGGGGTGCAAAACCAGGGCCTCGCTCGAGACATCCTCAAAGCGCTGAAGCCCAAGCCACCAGTCAGGCAAACCGCCCGAGACATCCCCACAACCTGGGCGTGAGCGGGCCCAGGAGATGCCTCCCTGGCGGCTCCCTCTTGGGGTGCTGGAGCCAGCGCCTGGCTCGAGACATCCTCACACTCTGAGTATGAGCGGGTCTGAGCGGGGAAGAGGATGATATGAGTGAGTATGAGTGAGTCTGAGCATGAGCGAGTTTGAGTGAGGATGAGGAGGACGTGAGTGAGTATGAGAGTGAGTGAGTCTGGGTATGAGTGAGTTTGATTGAGGAAGCGGCAGGAGTGGGGGAGAGGGAGGTGTGACCCTCATCTTAGGATGTGGGGAATAAGCGATGGATGAAGAAACACATTTCTTTGCATCACCTCTTGGGTGCCGCGGTGGCTTTGGAGCCACCTTCCTGCAATCCTCGGTCGCTCCCCGCTTGGCGTCCCCCCGCTGAGAATCGCAATTCTTGTTTCAGCCGCTGGAGCACAGCACACGATCTTGCAGGTGCCAGCTAGGTCCGAAACGTTCTGTGCCGGAAGACCTGGGCATTGGGCGCGACGACCGCCGAGGGCCACAGGGCCGCAGCGCGATAACATCCACCCGGAAGGCCTCCTCGACCTCGCAGCCGTGGATCGGTCGCCGCCTATCTACGGCGTCGACCGCGGCCAGTGGCGGCGGCAGCGAGCGACGCGCTGGCCGGCGAGCGGCGCGCGGCGGCGGCGGCGCCGCCGCCGATCCGCGGCGACTACTGGCGGTGACTGGCGGCGGCGGGCGGCGCGCGGCGAGGTCTCGTCGCGGCGATCCTTGCCGCCGCGGCGAGGATCTCCCCGACGAGGATCTTCCCGACGAGGATCCCGGATCCCAGTCAGCCGATTCTTTTATTTTCAATGCGCTGCCCCAGAGGTAGTTTTTCGTCCTGGATCCGCCCCTGGTGGCCCCTGGGGTCCGATAGCGGGCCCCAAGCAGGCCGACCCCGACGAAACCCGCCTGGACTGGCGAAGCCACATCATCGTCGGAGATCTGGGGGCGCCGCCGTGGCTTCAGCGGCGATCCCCTCCGCGGCGGGGCCCGCGCGCCGCGACTTTGCGAGGGGCGGCTCCCGCCGTGGGCACGCCGCCGCTGCCGGCTGGCGGGCCGCCAGGCGGCCGCGCCACGGAAGGGCACGAAGGCGCCCGGGCGCTGCGGGAGCGAGTCGGCCTCGGGCGTTGCGCTACGGGGGGGCGATAGATGGGGGAGCGCAGAAATCCAGGCCTCCTACAGGGGGTACGAGTAGATGGGGTCGGAGGATCGCGCCGCATCACCGATGCATCGGCGATGTGGCTCGATGTGGAGCCAGATTTTCTCCACTTTGGCGGCGCCGATGCATCGCCGACGTTGTCGGTGCACTGCCGATGCGTCGGCGATGCGGCGCGATCCTCCAAACCCACCTACTCGGCCCACATGTGAGAGGCCTCCAAGTAAGGTGCGCCTTTCGTGCACCTTGCGAGGCCTCCAAGGAAGGTGCACCTTTCGTGCACCTCAGGGGCCCTGGATGGGGTCCTCTGGGGCTCGAAAGGGGCACGAAAGGTGCACGCTTCTTCGCCCCTCGCCCCCTCATTCAGGCAACGCCCCACGGCCCTCCTTCCTCCCACTCGGGGGCCCCCAGAACGATGCGCTGACCATCCCGTGTGGCCGGTCCATGCGGCTTCGGAGGGGGGGCGGCTGCAAGGTTTTGTGACTTGGGTCGTTCTCCGAGGGTGCCTCGGGCGACTGGGGCCTTCGGGGTCCCGGAACCGTGCGGCCAGGTCTCTGGGGATCCCGGGTTCACCGCGCAGACGTCCTCGGCGGCCGTCGGCGGCTCTTACTGGGCTTCCTCGTCGCCAACAGCTGGATTCGCCTCGAGAAGTCCTGGTCAGCATGCAGACCAGGCCCCAGAACCGTCAGAAAGCTCTTTCGGGTGAAAAGCTGGTCGCAGGGAACGGGTCTAGACCAGGGGCGAGTCGTTCGTCTTCTCCTCAGCTCGCCATGAAGGAGTGGGTGCCGAGGGAAGGGGATCCGCTTCGGAATTGTAGCCAGAACGCACCTCGTGATTGGCCCGGGGGTCGAGTTTTGACCCCCGACCAAGGAGTCGCGATGAAGGCAGCGGATCCTTTGGGCAACGGGTCCCAAGTAAGGTTTTCAATAGTTCGCGGCCACCTGGGGCCCTCCATGGGTCCCGGGACTGTCAAAAACGGTGATGGAGGAACAAGTAGACCAGGGGAAGGCCTCGGGGTCCAGGATACGTTTCCCTCGGTACCCTTTTCCTTCATGCCAATGCAGCGTCAGAGCCGTCCCAGCGTGAACTGGGATAGGCTGGTAGCCTGTCCACCGAGTGTTCATGCTCGGTTGCTTCGCAGCTGGTGTCGTACCGAATCTTACGACGACAGTCATTCTATTCTATCGCGAGTTCGACCGAGAGGTTGAGGTACACAAGTTTCGAGAGGCCCGCATCAATGTCGCCCAGCAATGCGAAGTATCCTGGCATCTTACCTGGGAATAAGTCTTAGGAAGCGTCCTGGGCGGAGCCGATTTTGAAACTCCGCGACCGATGTCGTTTCATGAAGTCGCTCAAGCAAGTCTTGACTCTGTCGCTGAAGGCTTGTAATCGGATTGCGAGTATAGTGCTGCTGTTCGTTGCTTAGTTTTTCCCGCCCGCAGCTGGCACCAAGTGGCAGGTACATATCGGATCACAGAGTCTCACGTGTGTTTCCCGCCACGCCCTAGCCGACGGTATGCTGTACAATCTCGCCGTGACTGGGAACACGTCTCTGCTCGATCTCCTGAGCACGAAGCGAGGGCCGCTGCATATCGAACATGCATCGAGCACCTGCGTCGAGAAGCTTGAAACTTGAAGACGCCCTCGACGGGCTTGCAGCTTATGTTGATGCAACTTTTTCATCCTGTATACAAGTGGTCAGTCATTGTGCACATCTATGTGAGGCACCAAAAACTGTCGAGGATCCCGAGGCTGCCCGCATGTTCGAGCCAGGACTGCAGAAGAACATGTCTTGGTTGGTGAAGTAAGGATTCCCGTTTATCTCGTTGCAGACTCAGTCATTTCATATGTCTTTCGGTTTTGCAAGCGATTCGCCTCGGAAGTGGGCCCTGTGCCCGTGGAGAGTGCGACTATCAGTTTTGTAAGACTTGGGTGGGCGGGCCTTCATGTCGTCCCGTGCAATGCTTGGAATACCTCGGAGATACTGTCAGCCCACCCTTGGGTGCAGCTTCGGGTGCCAGCGTATGGTAGGTCATCAAATCTGTCTATTGGCCTCGCATCCCGCCACCGTGCCTGGGTTGTGGGCCATAGGCCTCTAGGATGTTCGTTGGGATGTTGCGGGAGGCCCCTCGGGGGCTTTTTTGGGGCCGTTTTGAGGCCTCTTGGGGGCCGTTTTGGGGCTTCTTCTTTGGGCGTCTTCGGGGCCTCTCTGAGGTCTCTTTGGGCCTCTTGGGGGCTTATGGAGGCCTCCTTGGGGTCATCTGGGGGCCTCTTTAACGGAAGACTTAGATTTTTCGTTCGTGTTCCCCCTCTTGGGCCCTTCTTGGGGCTGTCTTTGGGCCCCCTTGAGCCGTCTTGGACGCCTCTGGGGCCGTCTTGGAGCCCTCCTGGGCCGTGTTGGGGCCCTCCTAGGGACCTCTTTGGCCGTTTTGGGGCGGTCCTGGGGGCCTCTTGGACCTTCTTGGAGCGTCGGAAGCTCGACAAATCGAGGATTCCCGAATCATGGAAAACCAACGGAACATCAATGATTTGGGCCCTCTTAGGAAGGCTCTTGTGGCCCTTTTGGGGCGTCTTGGAGGCCTCTTGGGCCGTCTTGGGACCATCTTGGGCGTCTTGGTGCGATCGTTCGGCGACTCGGGGGCCTCTTGGACCGTCTTCGGGCCTCTTGGGGTCCTCTTGGCCCCTCTTGGGCCCCCCCTGGGGCCCGACAAAGTCACGCGAGAAGACGCGAGAAGCCCCACGGAGCACGCGTGAAGCCCAAGAGGATTTGGCAATTTGGGCTCCAGGCCCCGTTACGACTCGCCAGCAGTGTTTAAGGAATTCGGCGAAGGACTTGAGGACACGCCCACTCCGTGCCCAGCGGCATGGTGGCGGATTCAAGCGGCGTACGCCATTCCACCGGCCCCCTGAAGGAGTCGGAGCTCGCGACGGTCGTGGAGGTTATCGAAGACGCCTACGGCGAATCACCGCCGCCCATTGCCTTCTAGGATATGCCTACGTGGCCAAGCCAAACATTTGGGTAAAGTTTGGCCACGCTATTGGACCATGCGTTCCCCCAGCCGTTGTGGAAGCCCTTCGGGGAACACGTGGGGGAGGAAGAAGAGGATGAGGAGAGGAAGGAACAAGGAGGATGAGGAGAAGGATGCGGAGACCTCATGGGAGCTTCTTGGGCCATTCTTCGAGCCTCCTGGGAGCTTCCTGGGGGCATCATGGAGGCATCTTGGGGGCTTCCTTGGGCCTCTTCTAGGCCTTTGAGTGCTTCTTGGAGGCCTGTTTGGCCGTCTTTCGGCGTCTCTGGTCCGTCTGACGCCGTCGGGAGTCGTCTTGGGAGTCTCTCTGGGTCGTCTTGGGGCCTTCTCGGGCCGCTTCAGGGCCGTCTTGAATGACCGTCTTGGGGCCCTTGGGCGGCCTTCTTGGGGGCCTCTTGGGCCGTCCTGGGGCCACCTTGGAGGCCTCTTGGGCGATCTTGGGCAAAATCTTGGGAGCCTCTTGGGCCGTCTTGGGCCGACGGGAGGCCATACTCAAGCAGATGCCAGAATCCTTCGACCCAGGGAAGTCAATGATTTGACCTCTTCGGGCCTTCTGGAGGACTTCTTGGAGGCCTCTTGGGCCGTCTTTGAGGCCTCTAGGGGGCCTCTTGGGTCGTCTTGGCCCATCTTCTTGGAGCCATCTTGGGCCGTCTTGGTGGCTTCTTGGGCAGACTTGGAGTCATCTTGGACCCCCTTGGGCCGTCTTGGAAGCCATCTTGGATCATCTTGTGCGAAATTGGAGGCCATCTTGGGCCATGTTGGCCGTCTTGGAAGCAATTTGGCATTTTTTTCCACGGATCGTGCGGCCTTCCGGGTGGCCAGCGCAATGGACCGAAGCCCCAGGGGGAGCAACACACTCCTGAAATTTAGCACGCCAGGCACGCCTGTGGCAAGTCAACAGGCGGCGGCGGATTGGGATGCCTCTCAGGGGCCTCTTGGAGGGCTCTTGGGTGCATTTGGGATGCTTTTTTTTGGGGTCTCTTCGGGGCCTCTTGGGGGCTTCTTCGTGCCGTCTTGGAGGCCTCTTGGGGGCGCCTCGGGAGCCTCTGGGGGGCTCTTGGGGCCAGTTTTTGGGGAACGGCTCGAAAGATATTCCCCCTCTTGGGCTCTCTTAGCGCCTTCTTGGGATTCTCTTCGGCCGTCTTGGGGCCTCTGGGGCCGTGTCAAGGCCCTTTTGGGCCCTCTTTGGCCGTCTTGGGGCCCTCTTGGGGGCCTCCTCGGCCGTCTTGGGACGATCTTGGGGCCCCCTTGGGCCGCCTTCGATGCCGTCAAGACGGAAAAGGCGAGTATGTTGATAAGGTTATTCGTCTGAAGGGACTAGGACGATTTTTGCCTCTTCTGGCCTTTGCGGCGGTCCTCTGGGAGATCTCTTGGGCCGTCTTGGGAGCCTCGTGGCCCGTCTCGAAACATTTTGGACCATCGAGGGGGTCTCGACGCTCTATTGGATTGTCGTGGCGCTCTTTGTGCGGCCTTTTGAGTAGTCTTGCACTTTTTTTTTAGGCTCCGGAGACCCCGGGAAGGCGTTGAAGAGCTCGTAGGGACTTCCCACATAATCTGAATTCGGAGCCCAGGGGAGGGGGAAGGAGCAGGGGGACAGCCAATCAAATCATCTCATACGCTGTGTCACCCCTGGCAAGCGGGCTCCGTCGGGCTATTACCTTCAATGTCTTGTTCTTCTCGAAGTGATGCGCGCTCATTCGCCTAGGTTCTCAGATTTATAGACGGGCGGTGGAGGTTTCAGCTGGGCTCCTCTTTTCCAGGCCTCTTTCTTGAAAGACGAGTTTCGCATTCTAGCAATTTCACACGATATCTAATGAACTGCGAACCACAGGTATTCAGAGCTCGCGCCGAGCTCAAGCTCTGATCGAAGGCCGCCCCCGCCTTCTTTACGGCCAGGATGCGCGGGCTTGGACCCTTGCGTGGTGATAAGGCCACCATGCCTTCAGGTGCCCCTGCGTGCTCATCAGGATCAACCTTCAAGGCGGGATCCTGTTTCCTCTCCTCCTCCGCAATTATTCAATCTGAATACACTCTCCTCCATCCCCTGATGGCGTGCGGAAGATGGCGGGCACCCCTCCGCGTACTGTTTTTTACACAGGATTTCCCGGAGTTGGTTTTCGCTGGGTTTTTTTTCAAAATGCTGCTCTCGCAGAGGCGCCGGCCTCATTTTCGGGCTTCCGCTCGTTCCGAATCGTGCTCCCGCTGCAGCGTGGGCCTCATTTTCGGATCGGTGTTTTGCCTCCGTCGTTCATGATGGCGTTCTCGCCCCAGCGCGGGCCTCTTTCTCGCGCGCCCATCCGCCCGCCACCACCGCACCGCGCCCCGCCCCGCCCACCGCCATTTCCACCCACCAACGCACTCACGCACGCACGCGCGCGCACCACCACCGCGCACCGCCACCACCACCCCACTACCCCACCCACCACCACCACGCTACACCGCGTCACACCACATCCACACAGACACACACGCACGCACACACATACACACGCACACACACACACGCACACACACACCACCACCACCACCACCACCACCACCACCACCACCACCACCACCACCACCACCACCACCACCACCACCACCACCACCACCACCACCACCACCCACCACCACCACCACCACCACCACCACCACCCACCACACCACCACCACCACCACCACCACCACCACCACCACCACCACCACCACCACCACCACCACCACCACCACCCACCACCACCACCCACCACCACCACCCACCACCACCACCACCACCACCCACCACCACCACCACCACCACCACACCACACCACCACCACCACCACCACCACCACCACCACCACCACCACCACCACCACCACCACCACCACCACCACCACCACCACCACCACCACCACCACCACCACCACCACCACCACCACCACCACCACCACCACCACCACCACCACCACCACCACCACCACCACCACCACCACCACCACCACCACCACCACCACCACTACCGCCACCTCCACCACCGCCATCACGCACGCACGCACATGGCCCACCACCAAACCACCAAGTCGCCACACCACGTCACACCACAGCACACGCGTACACACGCACACGCACACACACACCACCACCACCACCACCAAAACCACAACCACGCACACACGCACGCACGCACGCGCACCACCACCCACTACGCGCGCGCGCGGAGCCACAGGTCCGCTACGACACGCGTCCGCGGATAGAGAGAATCAGCGCCGTGGTAAGGGATCGGAGGGAGGGGTAGGACGTCAGATATGACGCGAGCGCACACAGCTTGTCCTCCTTTTCCTCCTCCTCCTCCTCCTTTTCCTCCTCCTCCTCCTCCTCCTCCCCCTCCTCGTCCTCCTCCGTCTCCTCCTCCTCCTCCTCCCTGTCCCCCTCCTTATTCCTGCTCGCTCCTCCCTCCCCCGCATCCAACAGGCGCTGGCGGCGCGGGCGCGGACGGGCGCGAGGCGAGAGGTGCGCGGCTAGAGCTCGGCGCCGCCGCGGTGGACGAGGCGGCGGGCCGCGCGCGGCGGGGTCGGCCGGGTTGGCCGCCGCCGCCGCCGTCAACCTCGCTGCTCTCCCCGCCGGCGACCGCTGCCGCCGCCGCCCTTGGCGCCGCCACCGGCGCGACCGCCGTCGTCGTCGTCGTCGTCGTCGTCGTCGTCGTCGTCGTCGTCGTGGTCGTCGTGGCCGCCGCCGCCGGCGGCGGCGGTGGCGAGGGCGGCGACAGCATCGGTCGCAGCGGCAGCGGCAGGGAGGGGCGACGTAAGGCAGCGGGTAATCCCGATGTCGTCCAAAACCTCCAGGAAGTTTTTGGTTTGACTGTGACGGGTCCCGCAGGCAGAAGGTCCCAGGGGCCCGGCGAAAGACATCCAAGACCCGATTTCCTGCAGGACATGTCTCTTCCATGGTGGAAGAAAGGCGAGACGCGCCTCTTCCTCCTCCCCCCCGCGGGGCGATGCGCCCGCCCCAGACGGCGAGTGCCGATTGGGCCCTACAGCGTGGCGGAAAACACGCCGCCCGGGGTGGTGCGAACCCTAATCTGCCGTGCCGTGTGCGGATGGCTCGGCGGATAACGCTTCCTCCCTCTCCCCCTCATTCCTCCCTCATCCCGCTCCTCTTCCTCCTCCTCCTCGGTTTTGTTTCTCGTTTCCCGCCGGCGCGTTCCGTACCCCGCGCCTCGCCGCGCCGCCGCGCTCGCGGGGCAGCCAGGGCGCACCCAGGAGGGAGCCACCAGACTCTTTCGCCCGCCAGTCCTGCTAGGTGCTCAGTTCTCCAGGCACCCTGTGGCGGCGCTACCTGCGCGTATTGCTGACACTTGCTAGCCAAGGTGGGAAGCGCACGCTTGGTCTAGGGGGAGACTATTGCGGGAGCGGCGTTGGCGAAGAGGTCCTGCCCGACCTCTTCCGTCATGCGCCCTCGTGGTAAGAGAGGCCTCGCTTGCTTGTCCTCCAGGGCCACGTAGAAGTCACTACCTGTTTTGTGCCGCTTCGACAAGGACTGCTCCGCCTGCCTTGGGTCCGTTTCTCCCAGACTCTGACACGTTCCAAGCGTGGCCCTGCGCTTCGCCCAGGCCGCGTCAGCGGTTGCTTGTGTGTACTCGTCGAAATTGTCATTGTCGCTGCTGCGAGGTGTGGCGGGAGCTGAGCGTCAGGTGAAACCCGCTCCCGGGGCGCCAACTCTCACATGTCCTGCTGCTCTTCCTCCTACCACCATGAGGCATTTCCCGACACCAGGCGGCTACTTCCAGCAACTTCCAAAGGGCGCGCTGCGGCGCCGTGCTGCCGAAGGTTGGTGTGGCGAACGCGGGGTCCGTGGCCAGCGGGCACACAGCCTGCTCTAGGCGGGATAGAAACGGCTTAACATTTTTCATTACGTGGTCCCACACGTCGCATCATATTGCCGGTCGCGTTGCCATTCGTGCAGTTGGTGGCGATGGGGAGTTTGCCTACCACCATCCAGTGGTCCGTTTGGGCAACGAAGTCTGGGACGACATACGCTGCGAGGGGTGTGCCTGGGAGCGACAGCATGACGCCAATAGTTTGCTCTGATACGTGGTTGGCGACTCTGGGGTTCTGACTCTGGGATTGGAATGATGCTATGCCACGTTTCCTTGTCTCCTCATGGCTGCGTAAAACCGCTGATGTAGACAACGTGGGATTCGCGATTCCCTTTAGGCCTGCGCTTGAGAAACGTGTGCCACCTAACGCTGCAAACATCGTCCACGCTGCATCCTCCATCCTCGTCTCTCTCATCTTCTTTCTCCTCCTCCGTCTCCTCCGTCCTCCTATGAGCCCTGCTCTGCAGTACTACGTGCGGATTGCTCAGCCGATAGCGCCTCTTCCTTCCCATACGTTCAACGTCCTGCGAAAATTTAGGCGGATGTTTTTCGTCGCAGTTCCGCCTTTGGGGGCTGGTTTCGGGCCCGCAGGTCGTCAACAACGACCCACATGAAACGCCAGCGCCAGGGAACAGATAGGGATTTCGGGGACCCCGTATGAACACTGAATCAAGGCATTGGTTCTCTGGGCTCTTCTTTCATCCTTCCTCGTGCCCCTCCTCCTCTTCCTCCTTCTCCATTCTTCTCTCTTTCCTCCTCCTGCTCCTCCTCCTCTTCCACCTCCATCCTTCCCCTCTCTTTCTCTTGGCCTATCGACTGGAACGCGAGCAGCTGCTTGAGCAGCGATCTCAACTTAGGCTTCTGCTTTCCGAGATTGCTGACGAGTATCGTGTGCAAGCCCAGCAGAAGCTTCGCGATGTGTTACACGTGCATCGAGTCTTTCGTAGACGGGGGGAGGAGTGGAGGGAAGTGATCTTCAAGGAAATGCGAAAGCATTGGAAGCACCGTCGATTAGATGTGGCGACCCGATTGGCTAGGCGAGCGGCGGGTTCGAGATTCGGTCTGACAAATCGTGACTTGACTACAATTCGGGGAATGGTCGACGATTCGGTGGAGCTTAGACGCCGGTTTGCTCAGCCTGGGCCTCTGGGAGCTATGTCGGCGGTGCCGGTTGATAATTGGTCTGCATGGCGGTCTGAGAGGATCTCTAGAGCTTCTCGTCGTGTGGAACTGTCGGATGATGATTATTGAGCTGCTCATGGAGATCTGCCCGCTATTCTGTTTCGCTTGATGCGTGCTGGCAAGCGCTGAGCTATTTTTGAGTGGTCTCCGCCTTTAGAGCTGTGGTGGCGGTCGCTTTTTCCTCGGAAAAATTGAAGCAGCTGCCTACTGGAGTGGGCACAGGCGTGCTCCCATTCTCTGGAGAATTTTCGGGACTTGATGATCTCGGGGCTTTTTCGCATTCGGAGCTGTGGGCGAATTCCGATTTTCTGGGGCCGCAGTCGTGGTGCTCCCCTTCTTCGGCCTGACTGGACAACTCGCTGGATCCACCTGAAGAGGCCCAGGCGCAAAATGACCTCCCCCCCAGCGTAATTCGAACAGAAACAAAGCCGAAATCCAGCTGACCCCACCTGTTCTCTCGTACATCTTTGCGCGTAGTTGTTGTTTCCTTGCTTCCGGCTTTTTGGAATGCGCGGTTAGCGTGGCTATGGCGCGGCAGTCTTTCGCGCGTGTCCGTGTCAGGCTGGCGCAGCCAGCGATGGCGTTGTAGCGAACGGCGACGAATCGTTACGATTGCGTCCGCTTCGGGGCCGTTCGTGCTCGCTTCGTCATTCGCATTTTTCGATCTTTCGCCCGGTCTGCAATCGTGCGTGTTTTCTGCTTTGCAATCGCGCTGCGCTGCGTGGCGGTATCTTTGTTTCGACTCGCGTGCCTGTCTTTTTCCATTGGCGTGTGCGTGTCTCTGGCTATTCCATTGCAGTGGCAACGCCTTTGTTTGTCGCGCCCGGGGGGATGCGTTGCCCCCCCCCTTCGTTCGACGCGGCTTTCACTCGCCGCGGTCGCCAGGTTGCGCGGCGCAGCGTAGCGCTGCAGCTTATTTTCGCTTAGCCGCGCCACGGCAGGCGGCGAAGCGCCTCGCCCCCGCCCTTCTGTTTAGTTCGCTCGCGGCGCGGCATTCAGCGCCGCGCGGCAAGCTGCGCCCTGCGAGCGCGAATCATTGAGTTGGGCGCTGTCCAAGGCCGCGCGGCTCTGCTCCTCCGCCACCCCACATTTACCCTTCCCTCCAACCGTCCCCCCTCCATCCCCGCTCTTTGTCCTTTCCTCCAGCTGCCTCGACTCTTCGCCGCCGCTGCGCCGCTGCCCTCTTCCGCGAGGCTGCTGTCTTCGGGGTCCTCTCTCGCTTCGGGAGGGCTGTCCCGCGGCAGGGCTGCGGCCGTGCGAGCGCCGTGCCGCTCCCGGCTTTTCTCTTTGGGGGGGTCCCTTCGACGCGCGTTCGCCTGGGCCTCCTCAGTCCACCTCCTGGACCCCTTCGGGAAGGCCTGGAGGAAGCGTGGGGTGATGGCCCAACGCGGCCAGTTGCAGGGCACCGACCAGGACCATGGGTTCTTGAAACATTGTCGTCGAGAGTGTGCGCTCATGGTGCAGAGTATCACGGGGGAGTGGTTTGCATCGTGGTTTCTACACCTTTCTGACCAACGCGAGCGACCTGACGAATGCGTTTTCTCGCAGTGCTTGGTCGCCGACGGAGGCTGCTATTACATTCACGAGTTATTACTGGGAACAGCTGTCCGATGTGACAAGCAGCGTCTTGGGAGTTCTTTATCACATTGGGGGGGGCACGATGAGGATGTCAATATTGCACCGAGTGGGGATTGATGGGTTATGAGTTCGCGGTCAACACATTCGAACATTTGTCCTGCTTGTGCAGAACTGGTCAGGTGCCCACTCCTGTCCTACGTGACGGGAGCCTTGAGTTTGAGCATGATCCTGTCAATTGCTCGCTTACCCAGTATGCGGATGATCTGGCAAAGAAGCTTGTGCTTTCTCGTGGTGCTGAGCCTCGCGAGCTGGTCAATTCCAGCCAGCAGTCAAACCAGGCCTTGGATGAGAACCTAGCTGAATCTGGCTGTGCCCAAAGGTTCACGAAGCAGAATCTTTGGTTGCGCTTTCAGGAGTATGTGGCAGCTAATTGTCTCCGGGAAGTGCGTGCTTGGCGTCTGTTGTTCCTTGGGAAGCGTACTCAGACCGCTAAGTGTCAGGGGTCCTGGATGTCCGGCAGGCCGATTAACGATGATAGTGAACATGCACCCCGTGGTAGTATTGTTCGACAGGGTTGGTATCGGATGAGCGGTTTCTGGGCTCTTCGGGTCGTTCTTGACGACCTCGACGCTGTTTGCTGATACCAACGCTTTGCAATGTGGCTTTCTTCGGGTTTGAGTTTTCCCGAGCGTGCAACAAGTTCTAACGGCTTCATCATGTCGTGGCACAGTGTGCTCGCACGGCTATGTTTGGACAGGCAGCTGTGATTTGACCTCTGGAGTTCACACGACAAGTCTGTGTTCTGAAACTGTTTTGCGGTGGTGGCGCCTTCTGCCCGTCTCGATCTGGCAATTCGGATTCGTCGTCTTCGACTTTGGCAGAGTGTCGCGACAGTCCCTGGGGCCCATCACCAAATCCGCGCATGTCAGCTTGGAGCGTTTGGATCTGATCTCTTGCATATTCACTTGAAGGGTCGTCGTGAAGGGGGTGGTGTCTTCGTGGGCTACTATTGGGCGCGCAGATGTCGATAGCTTTCATGTCTCTGATGGGGGGGAGTCCCTTCTGGAGCGACCAGATGGTAGGTACATTCTCCTGTTTGTTGGTCTTGGATGGGCCGAGGGGTTCTATCGTGTGGATGTCCGTCAACTACGTGCTGGTGTATTCTCTGTTGCAATCCGTCCTCCTGGGTCTCCGTCTGCTGCGGCGGTTGCTCCTGGGGCCGGCGCTTGGGTTGAGGTCGGACGCTTGGGAATTTATGCGGAAGGCCTTACTTGATAGGCGTGCGCCACAGAACCGTCTTATTACTCATCATGGGTTTCGACTTGTAGCTCGTGTCGTGACGGTGGCGAACTAGTTCTGCCTGTGCCTGGCCATCGTCGCCATCGTCGCCCTTGATCCACATCCCCTTCCACCGCCTGCTGATGGAGGCGACTCCGTCGTGGATGCCGGCGACGCCCGCCATCTCCGTTGAAGAGCGAGGGCAGGGCGGCAACTGGAGGGCCGCCGAGGACGTGGTGCAGGAGGCCCAGCAGGTGACAAGGCGGCGGCGCGCTCAAGGCCCTCGTGGCCATCTCGGCGAGGCTGGCCCTGCGCAGCGCTGTCGAGCTTTGCGAGTTTCGCGGCGCGGTCTTCGTCGCGTTCTTGGTCGACGCAGGACGCGCAGTCATCGAGGCGCGCGAGGCCGCGGGCCAGGCGAGCCGCCAGGAAGTGCGGCGGCGGAAGGCGGAGAACATCTCGGACCTGCCGGGGCCACCTTTTGTTCGAATATGGGTCGTTTCCATTCGCGCCATTGGTCAAGGCTCTCGCGTCTCAGGTATCGCCAAACCAATCCGTTGGACCAGTACTTGAACGATTTCATCATGAAGAACCGCATCGGCACCGTGGCCACGGCTGTGCGAGCGTGCTGGGCGCGCCCGACGCGCGCGCTAGATGGCGGGCATGCCATGGTGCGAGTGACTTCCTCTGTGGGTCAGAGCCATCAGTATCCCGAAGGCGCCTTGGTGAAGTTCTTCTCTTCCATCGGAACCGCCGGGATGTGGGGGGCGCAGAAGCTCGAATCACAGGAACTGCTGGGCAAGCTGGAGGGGAAGTGAACATGAGTTCGCTACCATGGCATGTGAATGATGGGTCCTTGCATTTGAGTGATGATGGGGTCCAGCGTTTATACCATTGCATGTGAATGATGGTGACCAGAGTTCCCGTCCATTGCGAAGCGATCACGATGGTGACCCGAAGTCCTCTACTACTGCGACCTGAGAATGATGACGGTCTGGGTTTTGCACGTGATGCTGTGCCGAGTTATTTGTGTGTCTTTGTTGGTGACTCCTCCGACGCCGTCGGCTGGGGCAGTTGCGTCGTCGGGGCTTTGCCGCCTGCTCTCCTGGTCCCATCCAGATCTTGGCCCAGAATTCAACCTCCCCTTTTGCCAGCTGGGGTCCGTTCTGGGTTTTTGATTCTTGTCCTCGGTCCGACCGTGGCCCCTCGACCTCCTGCTCGTAGTTCTCCTCCCGCCCCTCCTCCGCCCGCGTTTCGTGGCAGTGGGCGGTATCTTGAGTTGCAACGTCGTTGGTTGCTCCCGTCCCCTGCGGGGCAGGGCCCTGGAGCCCTCGGAATCTCGATGGGTACCCGCGCAAGCGACGGTCGACTTATCTTATATAGGGGGAGGGCCCACGATGCGAGTACCGTTTTCATTGTTTGGGCTTATGCGAGGCCCGCGAGTCGTCGATGGCGGAGTGTCGAACCACGGGGGCCTGCCTACTATCCGCGGGGTTTCCCTGTGTGTATGAGGGTGGTGCCATGAGACGCCCACCTGGGTTTCTCTTTACATGGGGCCGTGTCCAGGCTCGATCGTTCCCCGCCAGTAGGGCTCTTTGAATTCGAAGCATGCTTTCTGCTGTCACATAGACCCAGCCTGGTTTAGTCTTGTAGCAATGAGAGACTGTGTGTCCGATGGTTCGTTGCTTTGCTTTGCTCTGTCCCTCTCGCTCTCTCTCTCTCTCTCTTTTCTTTTTTTCCCCACATGTGTATATATATATATATATATTCCTACATTCCGCTCCATCCCCAGCCATGCTCTTCCATCCTCCTCCATCTTTCTCCATCTTCCTACTCTTCCGACGACGGCGGTCACGGTGACGCGGAGGCCCCCCCCGGCGGTCCAATGGGAATAACATGCCCACAAGCTTCGCTGCTCGACTCTATCCCCCGATCCCCCGACTCCCGATCGACACCGACGGCGACGACGGTGACGGCGGCGGCGACGATGACCACACCGAAAACGGCACACGCCGACGCCCAGGCGGGTTGCGCGAACCTTGCGCGCGCTTCCGCGCGCTGCCGCCGTCGTTTCCGCCGCCGCCTTCGTCGTCGTCGCCGTCGTCGCTGCCGTTGTCGCCATCGTCGTCGCCACAGATCCCGCCGCCGCCGCTGCCGCTGTTCGCGCGGAGGACGCGGACCGCGAGCGCGAGTGCGCCCTCCTCGTGGCCACCATCGACGCCCTGCGGGCCGCCGCGGAAGACGCGCTTCGCCGCGCGGAGGAGGCCGCCGAAAGATGCCGTCGCCCGCCGCCGCCCGCTGCCGTCGTCGATCTCGGCCGCCGCCGTCGCCCTGCGGCGGCGGCTGTCGTCGTCGGTCGCCTTTTGCGTCACCGTCGACGTCGACGGCCCCAGTCGTCTTCGTCTTCGTCTTCGTCTTCGTCTTCGTCGTCGCCGTCGCCGTCGTCGTCGACGTTGTCTTGAGGTCATGGGAGAGGGGAGGAAGGGGAACAGGAGGAGACGGAGGGAGTAGGATGAGGAAGAGGAGTGGGCACATCAGAGAAGGAGGGGAGGATAGTTGGCGGAGGAGGAGGAGGAGGAGGAGGAGGAGGTGGTGCAGCAGGAGGAGGAGGAAGAGGAGGAGGAGGAGGAGGAGGAGGAGAAAGGAGGAGGAGAGGGAGGAATTGGAGGAGGGGAAGGAGGAATTGGATGAGGAGGACGAATTGTAGGAGGAGGAGGAAGTAGTTGAGGAGGAGGTAGTTGAGGAGGAGGAGGAGGAGGAGGAGGAGGAGGGTTGGGACGGGGCGGAGGTGGGAGGGAGTTATTCTCCATGCTTCTCATTCTGCGGTGGATGATGCTGCTCGCGAAATTGCTGGTTTCTCTTTCTCTCTCTCTCTCTCTCTCGCTCTCACACTTGGAGGGGGCTGTGATGGCGAAGCGCGGTTGGGCTTGAGGCGGCCCCCCTCGCAGTGCCGTGGAGGATGGGGAGCCAGTCTGAGGCGCTGGCTCCTCCTTTACTCCGAGGAGACGGGGGTTCTTCTGCACGCGCTGACCTGATCTGACCCTTTGACCTGGTCCTGTGCCTCTTGCCGCTCCTCCTCCTCCTCCTCCTCCTCCTCCTTTTGCTCCTGTTCCTCCTCATCCTCCCCCTCCTTCTGGACGTGCGCATGGCGATTCTCTTGAGTGGACGCGCACTCGGGCCACACCTGGGCGAACACCTTTGGAGAATGGAGCAGCTGAACGGTGGGCAGTATCTACGACCTTGCTGAAGCGCTACATGTCGCGTCGGTGCAGTGGGAAGGACCCGCCACAGCTGACCACTGCGTGGCGAAGAGCAGGAAGCACTGCGCACAACTGGAAGGGCAGGACGTCACAGGCTTCGTGGGAAAGGACTTGCAAGAGCTCGGCGAGATCCTTGCCTCCCTTTTTGACGGCGAGGGAGTGCATGGGATTGCCGACCTCCCAGACCTTGTCGAGCGCGCGGATAGGCTCGCGGCGTGTGCACATAGCCGCAGCCTTTCAGTTTCGAGACGTGCTTTGGAGAAGTGGGCACAAAAACAGTTAACAACATGAACCAGGCGCGACCCCAATTAGGGGAAAGTTTCTCAAGGGCGCATTGCTTGCCATTGCTTGGCAGTGCTTCGCACTGCTTTGCATAGCTGGGCGTTGCTTGCGCTTGCTTGGCATTGTTTGTCTTTGCTTGGCATTAACTGGCACAGCTTGGCATTATGTGGCACATCTTTGTTTGTATTGGCATCTCTTTGCATTGCTTGACGTTGCTTGGCACTGCTTGACATTTATTTGCAATGCCTGGGAACCCGACGAACGAAACCACGGAACCCCAGGAAACCAAGCACGGAGCAAGAACGGGGAATCTGGAGAACCCAAGGAACAAGACTGAGGAACTCGAGGAACCAGAACAAGAGCGGGGAACCCGAGGAACCCAAGGAAGGAACAAGTTCAGAGAGCCCGAGGAACAAGACCGGCGAATCCGAGGAATCCAGGCCACGAAGAAGACCGGGAAACCCAAGGGCCGTTGTTGGGGCACGAGGCTGGGTAACCCTCGAGGAGCCTTTTTGCAATGAAAAGAGGATCCTGGGGAAGCCGAGGAACCTCCGAGGAACGGGGAACGCAAGAATTCGAGGCACCAGGGGCGGTGAACCCGAGGAACCCGAGGATCCTCCAGGGAGCAGGCACAGTAAGTATACTAGGCACCAACCTTTCAATAACTAAGTAAGAGCTCCTCAGGCAAGCCTAATTGGGCAAATAAGGGGCACCAGGGGCGGGGAACCCGAGGAATAAGGGAACCCGAGGAACCTCCAGGAAACGGGCAACGCAACAATATGAGTCACCTGGGGCGTGGAACTCGAGGAACCCGAGGAACCTTCTAGCAACGGGCAAAGTAACAATAGGAGGTACAAACCTTTAACCAAGTAAGAACCCCTTCGGCAAGAGTAATTGGGAAAAACCAGCTATCTTGCACCGGCAAGTGAAGCACGAGCCGCCAGTCCCTCTTGAGGCTGTAAGCCCTGGGTGCATTGAGTGTGACCCCGTGGCCGTCATGGCCTGAAAGCAGAAGTTGTGGCAGGCCAAGTGGCTTGACCCTTTCGATTTCCAGGAGGACCTCCGAGGAGCTCTTTCGGGAGCTTTGCTTCGGGCGGAGGAGGACCAGCTGGACCCCATCGATCCCTCTCACTTCTCTTCCCTTTGGTCCCAAGCTCCGTTCAGGGGGGTGCACGAGCTGGCCACCCTCTTAATTTAGGCGAGGATGAGGGTGGGTTGCCAGAACAGATTTTCGTTACGATCTGTGCACACCTGCCAAACCTAAATCAGAACGGTGACAGTAAGAGATGGATGCTTGCCAACGTAGTCAAGCTGTGCAGTAGGATCCTTTCGGGTCTCGTGGGCTCCTGGAACTCAGAGATTGATCAGTTCTGGGACATTGCCGTCAAGGGCAACTCGGTCCTGAGATCAGCACTGCTGCGCAGCCTACTAGACTGCAGTCGTGGCTGACGTGAGCGCCGCCACTTTGCTTTCAGACATTGACGAATCTAACGACTCTATCAGTCTTGTGATGCTGACTAAGACGACGCGGATGTAGGTTTCCCCGCTCCGATCGTCCCATTGGAAGCCC